TTTATATTTTACCAACACGCATGTGGATACCTCCTGAGGTTCAAGGTGCTGCCCGTTGGCATAGTGATGTGTCTTCCTCAGTAGGTCTGTAGAGACACAGTGACAGGAGTGGAGAGCTCCAGTTTTTATAAACCTCTACCAAAAATGTAGCGTAGTCAAGTACTTAACTACTCTAATATTTTTAGGAAAAGCAGAGTAACAGCTACTAAACAATACTCATGATTGTCACAGTTGACTGCCAAAGTTTTGGCTCTCAGGTTAATACCAGTAGACACTGCAAGTGATTGTCTAAATTAGATATTTGATTTAAATAATGATGGGTGTACTAACTGTTTTCAGTGAAACAAGAAAAAATACGAAATGTTGTGTCTGAGAGGAGACATTAATTTTTTGTTTGAAGTCGTAATACAGAAAAAAAAGAATTGAAGGATGTTAAGTACCCCAGAAGGTTAATGATGATAATGTGACTACTTAGCAGTTTAGTAATAGCTTATGAATATTTTTTATTTATTTTACATATTTGTGTGTGGGTAGGTGGTATTGGATTTGAGGTGAGTGATGTTTCTGGGGGTAGTGATTTTTCTTTTTCTGACCAGTTTTACTGGGTGTGCAGGTAGAAGATAGAGAACAGAGAAAACCCTTCAGCAATACTGTACTTGCTGCTATCCCGGCAAAGTGAAAAGTGGAAGACTTTTTCAGGTTGTGCTTTTGTAAAATTGTCACCAATAGAAATGGTTTTTTTTTTTTTTTTTTTCTTTTTCTTTTTTATCGGTACCAGGGATCGAACTCACGACCTCCTGCTTGCAAGGCAGGTACTTATGCCGCTGAGCTAAATCCCCAGCCCCCACCAATAGAAATGTTGTATGTTACCTTCATTTTCCTTTTGCACGTGTTTGTTTTTTCTTCTTCTTTTTCTTTCTTTTTTTTTTTTTTTGACAAATGCATATATTCACTAACTTGCACAGTGTAACCAAGAATTCATGTTAGAAAGTATAATCAGATGGGGAAAAGTAGACCCTCAGTGCCTTGGTACCTTCATTCACAAACCAAATTGAACAAGAACCAAATCAAATTTCCTTATAAGGTCAACACTAAACCTAACCATTGAATTTGATTTGTTTCTTGTCCAACTCAGTTTGTGACCAGAATTCATGGAAAGAAACAAGTTCACAAACATAGGTTCCACTTATCACATTGCATAGTATGGCCTGATTTTAATAGTGTGATTTGGCTATCGTTCTGGCATTTGGTCATTTTATATTTTAAGTATTTTAATTATAGTTTTTCTTAGATTTATGTCCAAAGTTTTGCTTCTGAAAGTAATTTCGAACTATATTTTGTAGGTATTTCATCAGAATATAATATTTAAAGTCTAGCGCAGACTTTGGGGGGACTTTCCTCGTCGCTGGGAATAACCTGCTTGTGAGTGCAGTGTTGCACCCTGTTTCAGTGTTGCTTGGTGCTTGTAGTGCACACCTCTGCTGCTCCAGGTGTTCACATTTGACGTTCATTTTCCCCGCCCAAGTAAGTGCTTCTGAAAATCATGGGCACAAATGTAGAAGGTAAAGTCATAGGTAAAGGCAAAGAAATAGAATAGGCTAGCAGTTTTCTTAAGTTTAGAAGTGTTTAAATGGGTAAATCACCTTGGGTAAATCATCATGGGTAAAATCATATTCTTTAATGCCACAAGATGTTTTAGGTTGTAAAGACTGTAGGAAAAATTAAGGCTTTCTTAATTTGAATTTGCCAGTTTATTTGGGGAGCTGTTCTAAGATTTGAAGTTACCCCTGAAAACCATTATAAAAGCTTATTTGAGAAAAATTAAAAGTGTGTTTCTCTTAAGCTTGTGCTCTTTGTAGCACCCCCCCTCCAGTAGGGAGCAAGCATTTCAGGAATTTATATTACAATCTGCAGAATGCAGATCTATTGTTTCTATTGGAAGCAAAGCCTACAGTGTTATTTTAAAACCATGAGCAACTTAAAACCAGAGGCCTTACTTTTGTAATTTGCCTCCAGGATTAGACAGCTCTTGGTGAATTTAACTGCAGAAAATGATTTGTACTTATGCCAAAGGAGCTTAGAAGAAATTTTTTACTGTCAGGTAAATTTCAAAGTTACTTTAAGTGAAAAAGAAATGTGTAGAAAATGTGAAGCCTGTTATAAACACCAATTGTCACAGCGCCTTGGAGTTACAAGCCAAGGAGGACAGCCTGGGTGTCTTGTCTTCCCACTGATTTTCCCTTTGCCACTTTTAACAGGCACTTCTGACCCCATTACCAGTTCTCAGGTGTGACACTAGTGGCTCTTATGGAAGCCCCCTAGTCACAGTGTTTGAGGCACTCATCTCAGTCAGTCCTGCTATTTCCTGCTTTTCATCATTGATTTTAGCAACTTGTAAGGTGCCTGCTGTAAAGCCTACATCACGGATATTAAAATGGACGTGTTGCCTTGTGGACAAACCTGGCCCTGTATATCCATGTCCACCTTTTCTACTGTTTGCCGTGTGACTCACTGCAGAATGTCAGACCACCACCAAATGTGTACAGCTGAATTCCAACTCCCCTGTCTACTCTTTTTCTTGTACTTAACATCATCCGGCCATTCTTTGAAATGAAGACTTTCCAACAACTCTCCTTCCTCACTAACATCTATTAGGGGTTGTAGCCTTTTAAAAAACTCATAAAGAAGTCTACCATGTGCGTGTGTCTTTTGCCAATTAGACCTTTTCATCTTGCTTTTGAAATTTAAACTTGTCTTTGACTCACATGTCCTGAGGGCTGGTACCAGTCCATGGATGGCCTACCATCAAGAAAAAGCATCTTCTGTTTTGAAAAAGTGGAAAGATACATGATGGACTTGTATACTTTAGTGAGTTTCTCACAATTGTGTCAGATGCATGTGACGTCCTTGCATCTCTTTTTAATAAAGATTTACATCCTAGAAAGTATACTAAGAGACTCAGGGGAACCCAGGATAGCATGTCAAGTTGGATGGGAATTGAAGTCTGTTTTGCTGCTGATTTGGTTAGAGATTTGAGGCAGTTTATGTATGAAATGAAGCCAAGAGCTTGTGAGATTTGGGGGGCCAAGCAGGATGATCAGGGCCCCCTGCTCCACTGTCTTTGGTTATTCTCTCAGACCGTTTATTTTTGTAGTTCTGGGGATTGATCATAGTGCCCTATGCATGCTGGGCAAACTAACTGTCCAGCCTGCTCTCCCATTGTTTACTATAGCCACTTCATCTCACCAGCCTGTGTCTGCCTGTTCCTCTGAGCTCCAGTGTCCTCTCTTTGCTGTGTACATTGGTTGAAGTCTTTGCTCAACCTAGTGTGAAAGCCCTTTGCCAGCCTTCAGGTTTCTTGTGGGAAATGTAGGAAAGACGGGTCATCACACTGTCACCTGTGAAGAGGGAACTACACAGAGGATCATGAAGAAACACAGGCTTTGCAGTTAGGAGGTCAGTGGAAACCCCAGGAAGCAGCGTTGTACTGGAGTGGGGAGGATGAGCCTTCAGTTGCAGGAAGGGCTGGCTGAGTGGTGGGGACCAGAGAAAGCGGACACAGCCCTGCCTTCCGGGAGTTGTGAGCCTGTTCAGGGTTCCCCCTGACCTTTGACCTTTCATGGCATAATTGTGGACTCAAACAGGTGGGCCACTGGTTTGGAATCAACTGTGTTTAAGAAGATGAGCCCCCCAAGTGAAGATCAGGGAACCCTGCCTCCTGTGCTTGGTATTTCATTCTGATTCTATATTTTGTAGTTGGATAGCTCCTCAGTCAGGAGGCAGCACCTGTAGAGTTCTATATAGTTCTAAGCTGAATTCTCTTAAATTACTGAATGCGCAGGCCTTCATCCTTATTATGAATGTTTAATGTAACTTGAGCAAACCTTTTCAGAATTTTGCATTCCCTTTGGTGCCTGAACATTTTTAAGCAAACCATTATATTCTTCAGAATTTCCTGGTGTTTGTCTAGTTTATTAGAATGGTAGAACATAGTCCAGACCTAGGTTAAATTATTCATGTGCTGCTTTAGGCAGTTTTCAGTTTGCAGCTTGCACCCCAGATACCAGCAGTGTAATGCTGGCTGTTGTCTTAAGAAAGTAGTCATTGTGGCTGCTCAGTGTCTCTTTTGTAGCCATTTTACTGGAAAGTCTTGATTCATTAATATTATTTAGTGATGAGTCATTCTTGGTTCAGATCAGGGTCTATACTATTAACCAATAATTTGTTTCTGCCATAAAACAAATTAATATGGAAAATATGGTATTCCAATTTGATTGTTACTCCTTTATTATAAATACAAAGGGCATCTGTATGTAATTTATTTAATTGTGTAATTGGGATAATGGATGTAAAGCATAAAGAATCAGGCATGCTTTTTAAGCCATTATTGGTCTTAAGAAATAACTGCAGGAAAAAGCACTTTTAGAATTATCCTTGAGTGTTAATTCTAGCTCCAGAGTTAATGTAGTATTGTAACCTGGGGCACATAACTCGTATCTTTGGACTGTGGATGTCTCCTGTAAAAGGAGAGGCCTCCATTGGGACTTCGGGTCTTCTGGCAGAATTAAGCAGCGTAGCTGTCAAGTTAAAACTGCAGGTGTGGTGCAGGCCCAAGAACAGGTGTGCTGCATTGGCCCTCGCCGGCAACTGACTGCAGTCGGAAGTTAACTTGTTTTGTATGTGAGAACCTTGGTGCAGTAGGTAACTGCTGTTTTCCTTCTGTTTACCTGCTTGTCTTCATCTTTGTGTGTGTATTTCTTTGCCTTTTATTTACAAAGCTTTGTGCTGTCCTTCATGCTTTTCTTTGTGGTCATTTCCATTTCACTTTCCTTGTGTTTCATTCCTGTATCTTTCTTGTCTAGACCAAGTGGAGCAGCCAGCTGGCAGTAGCGCCATGTAGGACCCACAGGAGCTCACTGGTAAGTGCGCTCGTGTACTTGCCAGGCGCCTAGCAGTGCCTCTTGCCTCACAGGCACGGCTGGGCAGGCCCCTTTCCTTTGTGAAAGCCCCGATAGGTTTGGGTTTTTTTCTTTTAATTCAATGGCATAGAGGGTAGAAATCAAACACAGGAAAGAACTGCTGATTCAAGAACATGTTGCAGGGTCCCCCACCTGTCCTTGAGACCCCAGGCACCTGTGTGGGCAGGACCCCTGGGTCTCACTGCCAGTTCTGTCACAGGCTGGTGATTTATGCCTCTGTGGCCCCAGCCTTCAGTTTCTCCCACACCAGCAAGTAGGACAGGTGATTTTGATAAGCCTTTCATCTCTGGTCTCAGGCCCTAATGGAAAATCCTTGAAGATGGTTCTGATTAAGATCAAGGAAGCCGTTTGATGTGTCACGTAATTTCAGTTCCATGAATGAAGGATCATTGAGTCATGCTAGAGATTGAGTCATACTAGAGATAAATCTAATTGTTCATTCCTTCATTTTTATTAGTGTTATCCAAATAGTTATTGTCATTTTTAGTAAACACAAAGTTTGCCAAGTCCCATATATCTTTAGTGACTCAGAAGCACCGTACATTGGTATAGCGTGGTAGCTCTTAACCTGGAAGGTTCCTGTCCTGGGAACTTAACGCTTGTCCCAGTTGGAGGGCAGAGTGTTCATGACCTCTGGTAGGTAGAACCCATAGGTGCTCCAAAAACATCCTCCAGTACCTCGACAGACTAACACAACTGAGAATTTTACCTGACTCCAGTGCCCTCGTAGGTGGTTGGAACTTTGGGGTGTCCCATAGCCATCTGCAGCAGCATTTGCTGGTTCTCTGAGTTGGATCAGGTACAGGAGCTGTTCCTACTATAGGTGTCCTCTCTTTGCAGTGGATTATGTTTCCATGGTCATCGCTTTCAAGGTGGATACCTTAGGCGCACAAAAGGAATTTTACACTGATAAGGTTTGGGGAGTCCAAATGTAGGCATTTGACATTCTTTATGCAGAGGGTACAAATAGAACTTTACCATTTAGAAAGTTTTGTGATTGCATTTTGCATACATTGTAATGAATGGTAGAGTTAAACTTATGCTTTGTTTTATTATGATAGAAGTCTAGAAATTTTGTTATTCACGTGCAAACTAGTGTGCTTTGTGTGTTTCTTAGGCCTGCTAACTGGCTTTGTGCAGCACTTGGAGTGAGGACTGTGAGGTGTGTGCAGAGAGCACAGCTTTGGGCTGCACCTCTCCATTTTACTTTATGTACAGACATCATGTGAAGTAGAAAACACCGTAAGCAAAGAGCACATTCCTTCTTTCTCTTCACCTCCCTCCCCTGGTGGTGCTGGAGAAGGAATCCAGGCCCTTCCCACCGAACGGTATCTCTGTCTAGCCCTTTTCATTTTGAGACAAAAAGTTTGACTGAGTGATCCAGGCTGAGTTCAAAATTGTGATTCTCCTCCTCCTTCAGTCTCCCCAAAGTATTGGGACTGGTGCAACATCACGTAAGTCTATTTAGACTCAGTTGGCTGAGTCTTAACTTTTTTTTGTTTGATACTGGACGGACTCATGACCTTGGCCAGGTAGATGCTGTGTGGCTGAGCTTCATCCCCTGGAGCTTGAGTCTGACCTTTGAATGGAGCGTCTGAGAATGTGCCAGGGTCCCCCACATGATAATGAAAGCAGCTGTGGGTTTCCTCAAATTCCACTTTCAGTACCAGCGTTAGGTCTTATACGTATAGGCAGCTGATCATTTTATTTGCGTGTTTGTGGGGCATGTGTTTTGTCTGCTACCTGTAATCTGGTGCCAACTGAGCTCACACACAGGGAGGGCGTATGTCTTACCCGGGACAAAAGGAGGGAACTCAGATTTCCTTAAACACAACTGACTCCTCAAGAGGCTTTGTTGTCATCACCTGTAGGATAATGGTGTCAACTTGACTAGGAAAGAAAGAATCCCAAGTGTTTACCTTTGCGGAGGTGTCTGTGTGCCTCTTACAGAGGGGATTAGTTTACAGTTCTGTGCCTGGAGACATGTATTTGCCTTTGCATGTAGACCCTGGATTTCGTACCAGGATGTGGTTCTTGTGAAGTGTATGCTTGTGCCCCAAGCTCCATCTTAGCGGCATATGGAAATAAATGCATAGGCATGTTATCAGCAAGTTGAGTGAACTGTTGCACAGTTTGGTTGCAAAAAGTACATATATTTATGTATGTATATATATATGTGTATGTGTGTGTGTGTGTGTATATATATATATATATATATATATATAAAACATATGTAATCTGTTTTCTTACTGGCTGAAGAATTAAGTCTTTAACGCTGTTTTGGAATTCGCTTTTTATGACTAACAAAGCTAAATGACTGATTATTAAGTATCTTACAATTTGCTTTTTTTCTTTCTTGTTATTTTAAATTTTTATCAATGCCAGCTGGCATTTTTTTAGGCTTGGCACTTTCTTTGTATTGTAGTTTATTTCTCTACTTTCAACCATGTTTTCAGTGATGCTCTGTGTCTCACTTCTCTTTCATCTAGTGTCTGTATCTTACCTGATTATAGGCCTTGATGGTGATTCTTGATTATGGAGAATGTAATTTTCTCTATACTCCAGAAGTTGAGTAGTTTTCTCATTTGTGATTTTAGAGATGCGCATGGCAAGGGACTTGTTCCACAAGGGGCAGGGCAGCCCAGGGGCTTTGGGGGGCTTCCTGTCTGGGGGAGAAAAGTGCCCTGAAGAGACATGGGGTGGAGAGGCAGTGGGCGCCTGTCTGTGTCCCAATACTGGACAACCTCAGGGCTAGGAAAAGGAAATTTGAAAATTAAAAACTGGAAAAGGTGGGCTCCCAGTTCTGGGCTGGTCCTGGGAGACTGAGCTCCGAACCTGCTTGGCACTTCTTTTGAGTCGTGTGTCTTGTTGAGTACCGTTAGGACTTCAGTTCCTTGCTCAGCTTCCCAGAGAGATGTTGCATTTTAATATTACCTTCTGAATTATGGGGTCACTTGGAATGCAGTTAGTAATTCCTGAATTTCGTCTTCTGAATTGTTAATGAAATATTGAACTATGCAGGACTCAAGAGTCGCATCCTCGGCCTTCTGAAGGCCCTGATGACAGTGAATTATTCATGACTTCTCTGCATCTGATATTTGAGCCATTGTGTACGTGGATCCCTTGTAATTCAGCAGAATCTCTACTTTTTGTTGTTTTGCTTTGACAGGTAGAAATAATCATGTCTTAACTAGAATGACCCTAAGTTATACTACATAGGTATTATTTTTCTCTAATCTGCTTTCAGTAATTGCCAGCCGTGTTACTTGTGCAGTATTGATACTCAGTGTTATTACTAATCTTTGAGTTTAATAGCGATAACTTTTTGAGACTATATTGTCTGTTAAGTTGATAGCTATTACAGCTACGAAGGAAACTAATGCCCGAGATTCTGAAAGATGTAAGATTCAAAGATTTTTTTTTTCTGGCAGAGCTTAAAAAGATCTGTATTCATCATTCCTTTCTTTAGGAATCCAAAGTGATAATTGCCTAGGAATATCCAGTTTGCTATGATGGGGCTAATAATTGTCTCCTTCAAGAATTCAGAATGATAATGAATGAATGAATGAGTAAATAAATGTTGTGTTGCAGGGAAGAAAAAATCCCAGGAAAATAAAAACAAAGGAAACAAACCCCAAGATATACAGCCGAAGACAAGTGAGCCAAATTTCACCCCTGCAAATATGAGAGATTCTGCAGACGGTAAGCATGTGGCTTTGGACTTGTCTGATTTGGGTATGTGTTGCCATCTCCTTTGTGTCTCCTTCTCTCGCCTCTCTGAGAATCATCTAAGAACTGCAAAGCAGGGCGGGGTGTTAAACAACAAAAAAGCTGCCTAACTTTCAATGTTGAATTGAGCCTTCCACATCCTACCTTCCCTTTATTAAATGATTAAAGAGGCTCCTTGTTGAGAAATGAGGTTGTTCTCTTGTTACAATAAATAGCATTTATAAAGAAAATAAAGTTCAAAGCCATCCAAACAAATCTGGTGGTAAAGGCCAGACTGGCAGGGACATGAGGAGGCTTCTAGGACACTAGCAGTGGCCCATTATTGATCTGTGTGGTGGTTATATAGGGTCATTTACTTTGTAAAAATTTCATCTTGCTATATGCTTCATGATTTATCCACTTGAACATGTGTATGTTTTACACTGTAGTAAAACATTGACTTAAAAACATCAAACACCTTTGATTTTATGTGACAGAATAAAAAGTGTGGGGGTTTTTTGCTAGAATTTGAATTCTAAATTTATCTTTTTGTGTTGCCTGCCACAAGATTTTCTTATATTCTCTCTGAGGATTAATATTCTAGGCCTTTGCTGATGTAAGCATTTGTAGAAAGACAGCTACAGGTTCATCAGAGACAGCTTGCCCTGGGCTCCCTGTGGCCAAGCCCATACTGGGGCTGTTCATGTAGAAATGAGGGAGTTGTGTCTTCATTTGTTAGAGGCAGATGTATGCCAAGACCAGAGCTTGCTCAAGTGTGGTTCATAGAAATGTAAACAGACAAATTTAAGAATGCAGGCTGTGACTCTGTCAAACATTTGTGGAAGGGGGAAAAATCAACAAAACATTTTAGGTGCCTTTTATAGCCATTTTATTAGCACTGTTTGTGATGATGACATCCATAAAGAATGTTAGTTTTCTTTGCCCTTTTATGAAGCAAGAACAATGGAGTTCATTGGGACTAGGTACAAATGACTCCTGGGTGGCCTGAGAAGTCTGTGATTTAAGACAAAAGGAGTTGATTGGAGGGAGCAGAGATCATCTCTGCATTTTGGTCTCTAAGTCTTCCTTTGTGCTTTATGTCAGTGAGTAATAAGTAGCTACTTTGTTGTGGGGGAGAAAATAGATAAGATGTATATCCTTGGGAGGATAAGTTCAATTTCCCAACTCCAAACCTGAAGAATTACTAAAGGACTTGATTACTTTGGGTGGCAAAAAAGAAAAATCCTCCTTTTCAATAATTCAAGACAGTTCCTTTTTCCTGCTATACCACAGATTGCTGTGAACAAAGAGGCTTGCTCCTGACACCTGTTGGGCTCTGCTGTCTGCAGTGAGGTGTCCTGTATGGTTCTGGATGTGGTTGTTGGCCTCCTTGAGTGTTCTGCCTTATCCTCAGCAACTGGACTCTAAAGAGTGCCAGCAGTTCAGGCTCTGCTGGTGTTCCCTACACCCACCCTTTCCTGTTTAGAAGGCCTCTCCAAGTGGATAAACTGTGATGTCGTCCTTCCTAACTGATGGAGTTGTATGCTCTCAGGTTCATAGTAACTTTGACCAGTTTTAAATATGAGATAGTTCAAGTCACAGGAAAGACTTTATTCCCTGCATGTCACATATTGTGATAGGAAATGTTCAGAAAGAAGTTTGTGAGCATTAGAGCTACATTTTCTGTTGCCTTATTTTCACTTTGCTTTTGACTTGGGTCTTTGTTAAAAATGTATTTGAAAAGAGAGCCCTGGTTTGAAATGGATTACCACCATTGAGGGACTGATTCCTGATCCTGTGGAAAGCTCACGGGATTTATGAAATCTGTCTAGGGGAGAAGGCTGGTTTCCATTTAGAAGCAGGAGCCTCGTTGTTGCTAATAATGTATCAGATAGGGAAAAGTAGGGCCACTGTTTCAGTGCAGGAGCAGCAGCACCAGGTGATTGAGCTTTGTAGTCACCTTACATGCATTGAGCTTTCAGCACGAGGGGCTCTTCAGAGTCCCTTCTCTGTCTTCTTACGCCAGGGATGTCCCCATGTCTCTTCACAGCCTTTTGTATCTTGACAGATGGGCGACTCTTTGCTGCCTCTCCTGCTGCTTTCTGTTCCCATTTTTTAGCTCATTTTGCCCATCCTAACACCACGATATACCCAGCAATGTCCTTCTCCCAACCCCTTAACCTACCCTACAGCTAAATCTCTCAAATGGACTCTCTGTCATCTTCCCAAACACCTTAACCCCGATGTCTGTTGTACCCAGACACGTCCACACTCATCACAGTGTCCTGCACATTTGATTCTTCCCGCAAGCTTCTCTCGTGTTCCTGATTTCTTTGTGCTTCATGTTCAGCTTGCTACGTATTCCCTCATTAGTTCAGCCAAATTAGATGCACCTCCATTGTGTTTCCATACCCCACATACTTTAGAAAATACTTGCCTGCAGGTTTCATTGGAATTTTATCTTACAGTATGCTTATAATTTACCCACATGTAGATACAGATGTAGATGTAGATATAGTAGACACAGATCTGTTAGAAATGTCGAGGATGGATCTCAGTAATCTTGTTTACCTGGCACTGCATGCCCTGTGTGCTCTGTACATACCTGTCAGGTGATAGGGGAAATAGCTCCATTTCCTTCTTGTTTCCACAGTTCCTTCCAAGTGCTAGCCCATTGTGTCTTCCTTCACAGAGAGCCCTGAAAGAGTTGCTCCCCTTTTCTCTTTGCTCCTCCTTTTATGAATTCCACTGGGTATTCGTCTTTACCATTGCACTGTAGCTGTTGTCACAGTCACCAGACCTGCTTGTAAGTGGAGTGTTCGGTCCTTAGTTTTCATCTTTCCCAGCCCATGCTGGACTCGGTTGGCCAGCGTCTCCTTGAAACAGGTTCCTTGGCCAGCGGGCTGCACTCTTGCTCTCCACGTGCCTCGCTGGCCTTTGCCTGCCTTCTCAGTACTGGACCCTTCTCAGTACTGGTACACACTGCTGTCTTCACTCTACCTTTTCCTCCCCAAGGACTTGGACATTGCTAGGCTTAGCCTCTCCGCTGAACTCTAGATCCATAAGAAACTGTGTGCATAAAATCTTTACTTGAATATCATATTGTGTACATTAAATTTCAGCACATCCAAAGTAACTCTTAATTTTCTTCCCAACATTCACATACACAACCAAGCCTACTTCTCGTACAGGCTTATGGTTTAGTAAACAGGATTCTGGCTCTTCGTAGTGCTTCTCTATCAGCACAGCCAGTCCACAAGCAGTTATTTGGCTTTATTTCCAAAATATGTATCCAGAATCAGACCACTTCCTATCAGCTCCCCCAGCCCCACCACCTCCGTGTCACCATCCCGCCCTTCTGGAGCATGCAGTGAGTTTCTCTTGTCTTGCTTGTCCACCTAGAGTTTTCCATCATCCTGATGGCAACTGTGATTCCCTTAGATACAAATCAAATCATGTCGTTTCTCTTTTCGAACCTTGTGGTAGCCGCCATTGCTCAGAAAAGGCCGATGGTCTGTAGTGACTGATGTTAGCAGGGTTCCCTGGCTGCCTCTCTGGTCTCGTCTTTGCTTCTTTCCTTGTCTTCCCAGTCCTCCCCCAGTCTTACCCACTTGCTTGAATGTATCTAGCAAGTCTTGACTCTGAGCTTATAAATTTGCTACCCAGAGGACTTCTCTCCCTTAGATATTTTGCACGGCTTATCATTGTTTTTTTTAGGTCTCTACCTAACTTGCACCTTACTACTAAATCCTTTCCCGGCCCCCTTTTTCCTATCATACCAGGCTGAGTTGGACATTTCCTTCTGAATTAATAGTTTGATTTAGACTAAAAAGAAGTGATGTCTTCGTAGTTTCTTAGACCTGAAAAACTTCTGATTATTCTAGAAAGTGTTTTAGTTTTCTCTGTACCTAGTTTAGTCCCAAAGGAGAGTGATCACTCATTCAAAACACACTATGAAGAATTTAACTTGGTGATACATTTAGCAATTTCTTTGTTTCAGTCTGAAATCATGAGATGTAGAAATTCACAGGTAGTCTCCTGAAATTAGGTATCAGTAATTCCAGCATAATTATAAAGACTGTAACTCTCCCAAGATAACTGTGAGCACTGCAGCTTTTTCTATAATCTTTTTTTTTAATAACTTCATATTTGTTCTGTAGGTTGATAGATTTCATTTTGGCAGATTTATATATGCACATAACAATTTAATCATTTTCAGCCCTGTGTCCTGCCCTCTCTGGTAGTTTAACATTTTTTAAGGGGGATGGTTTCAATGTGTGTGATATATTTTGATCAGATTTATACCCAAGCCCTACAATTTCTTCTTTCCTTTTTTCCCTCTCTCCCCCACTTCTTCTTCCCTCTTCTTTCTTTTTTCTTTTCTTCTCTTCTCTCTCTCCTTCCTTCCCTCCTTCCTTCCTGCCTCTCTCCCTCTTTCTTCCTTCCTCTTGTCTGTCCTGTCCTATCTTGTCTTGTCTATCTTGTCTGTCTTGTCTTTCCTGGGAGACAGGATCTCACTGTGGAGCCCAGGCTGGCCTTGAACTCATGGCAATCTTGCCTCAGCCTCACACGTGCTGGGATTACAGATGTGCACCATCATGGCTGGCCTACAGTTTCTTAAAGCTCCAAATATATATGTCTAAACACAGAGACAAATCTAAGTATAGTGTGGGAGTCCTTGTCTGTTGTGTGTCCGGAGGTACAAAGCAGGTACTCTCTAAGTATTTGTTGAATGCATGAATGAATGAATGAAATGGATTCATAACCAGTTTAATTTATAAATGCCCTGTGTAAAGTGGAATTTATTTACTGTTAGCTATACTTATCACATAATAGGCAGACTCAGGAATTGATTAAAGAGCAGCTGGTTTTGCGCTCACCTCTGTGTTTTTCTTCTTGTTTTTTCTAGGTCCTAAAGAAGAGGAAGAGAGACCTTTGGCTGAAGCGCCTGAACAGCCAGCTGTCCCGCAGGACGTGGTCAGCCAGGATGTGCTTCCAGAACTGCTGATCCCTGCCCCTGCCTGCGAGTCCCAGCCAGAGCCAGAAGGGAAACAAGAAGCCACAGACTGTGAGGCCAATGACCTGGAGGAAGAGGAGGAGGAGGAGGAGGAGGAGGAGGAAGATGATGATGATGATGAGTTGGAAGATGAAGGGGAGGAAGAAGCCGACATGCCAAATGAAAATTCTGTGAAAGAGCCAGAAATACACTGTGATGAGAAGCCAGAGGATTTATTTGAAGAAACAAAAAGCATTTTAAATGAAACTCCTGAAGATGCTTCTGAGGTAACTCCAGTCATCAGAATCCCTGAAACTAAAGAGGAGGTCAATGGTGATGTATTTGAAACGTTTATGTTTCCGTGTCAGCATTGCGAAAGGAAGTTTACCACCAAACAAGGGCTGGAACGCCACATGCATATCCACATGTCCACAGTCAATCATGCTTTCAAGTGCAAGTACTGCGGGAAAGCCTTTGGCACACAGATTAACCGGAGGCGGCATGAGCGTCGCCACGAAGCAGGGCTGAAGCGAAACCCAGGTGCCACAGTGCAGCCGTCGGAGGACCTGGCTGACGGCAGAGCTTCTGGAGAAAATGTTGCCCCTAAAGATGAATTGAGTCCTCCTCATCTTGGGCAAGATTGCCTGATCCCAAACTCAGAGAAAGTTTCTCAAGAAACCACACATGCTTCTGTTGTGGAAGAGAATGGGGAAGTGAAGGAGCTTCATCCATGCAAATACTGTAAGAAGGTGTTCGGCACTCACACTAACATGAGACGGCATCAGCGCAGAGTCCACGAGCGTCACCTGATTCCCAAAGGCGTCCGGCGGAAAGGTGGCCTCCTGGATGAGCCGCAGCCCCCTGCAGAGCAGGCCCAGCCCACCCCCAATGTCTATGTACCAAGCACAGAGCCAGAGGAGGAAGGGGAAGCAGATGACATCTACATCATGGACATTTCCAGCAATATCTCGGAAAACTTAAATTACTACATCGATGGTAAAATTCAAACCAACAACAACACTAGTAACTGTGATGTGATCGAGATGGAGTCTAATTCAGCAGACTTGTATGGCATCAATTGTCTGCTCGCTCCAGTTACAGTGGAAATTACTCAAAATATAAAGACCACACTGGTCCCTGTAACAGATGACCTTCCTAAGGAGCCTTCCAGCAGCACAAACTGTGAGTCCAAGAAACGGAGGACTGCAAGTCCACCTGTGCTCCCCAAAATTAAAACAGAAACGGATTCTGACCCCACTGCACCCTCTTGTTCCTTAAGCCTGCCTCTTAGCATATCAACCACAGAGGCCGTGTCTTTCCACAAAGAGAAGAGCGTTTATTTATCATCAAAGCTCAAGCAGCTTCTTCAAACCCAGGACAAGCTGGCTCCTCCTGCAGGGATTTCAGCATCTGAGGTCCCTAAGTTAGGCCGTATGTGTGTGTCCGCTCCTGCATCCATGTTAGCTGTGACCTCAAGCAGGTTTAAGAGGCGGACCAGCTCTCCCCCCAGTTCTCCGCAGCACAGTCCCGCCCTCCGAGACTTCGGGAAGCCCAGCGAAGGGAAAGCAGGGTGGTCAGACACAGTGCTCGCTCCCAAGAAACCCAAGCTAGAAAGTCGCAGCGACTCACCTGCCTGGAGTTTGTCTGGGAGAGAGGAGCGAGAAACTGGGAGCCCTCCTTGCTTTGATGAATACAAAATATCGAAAGACTGGGCAGCTAGTTCTACTTTTAGCAATGTGTGCAACCAGCAACCACTGGATTTATCCAGTGGAGTCAAACAGAAGACTGAGGGGACAGGCAAGACTCCGGTCCAGTGGGAATCTGTGTTAGATCTCAGTGTGCATAAAAAGCCTTGTGACTCTGAAGGCAAGGAATTCAAAGAAAATCATTCAGCCCAGCCAACAAGTGCTGTAAAGAAAAAGAAACCAACCACCTGCATGCTACAAAAGGTTCTTCTCAATGAATATAATGGCATCGACTTACCTGTAGAAAGTACTCCTGATGTGGCCAGGAGCCCAAGCCCGTGTAAATCCCCAGAAGCCCAGCCAGATCCTGACCTCAGTTCCGACTCTCGCTTCTCCGCCCCTGCTGCTGAGTCCCCTGATGAAGTGTGCCCTCCGTCACCCACCCTACAGACGCCTTCCCAGTCATCCAGTCAGCTGCCTCCTCTCCTGGTCCCCACAGATCCCCCTTCCCCTCTGGCATGTCCTCCTGTGCTGACTGTCGCCACTCCGCCCCCGCCCCTCCTTCCAACTCTCCCTCTTCCTGCTCCATCTTCCAGTGCGTCTCCTCAGCGGTGTCCCTCTCCGCTCTCCAACGTGGCCGCCCAGTCTCCACTTCCAATTCTTTCCCCAACTGTGTCGCCCTCTCCCTCTCCCGCTCCTCCCGAGGAGCCGCTCTTGTCGGCCGCTTCACCTGGGCCTCCCACACTTTCTTCTTCCTCTTCCTCCTCCTCCTCTTCATTCTCTTCCTCATCCTCATCTTCATCCCCTTCACCACCCCCTCTCTCAGCGGTGTCATCTGTGGTGTCCTCTGGTGATAATCTGGAGGCTTCTCTCCCTGCAATAACCTTTAAACAGGAAGAACTAGAGAATGAAAGCCTAAAGGCCAGGGAGGAGCCCCAGTCCACAGTCGGGCAGGACATTGTTCAGGAAACATTCAGCAAAAATTTCGTCTGCAATGTTTGTGAATCACCTTTTCTTTCCATTAAAGACCTAACCAAACATTTATCTGTTCATGCTGAGGAATGGCCGTTTAAATGTGAATTCTGTGTGCAGCTTTTTAAGGATAAATCAGATTTGTCAGAACATCGTTTCTTGCTTCATGGAGTTGGAAATATCTTTGTGTGTTCCGTTTGTAAAAAAGAATTTGCTTTCTTATGCAATTTGCAGCAACACCAGCGAGATCTGCACCCGGACGAGGTATGTACGCACCACGAGTTCGAAAGCGGGACACTGAGGCCCCAGAACTTTACAGACCCCAGCAAGGCCCAGATGGAGCATATGCAGGGCTTGCCAGCAGATCCTTTGGAAACGTCCAAAGAAGAGGAAGAACTAAATGATTCCTCAGAAGAGCTTTACACCACCATAAAAATCATGGCTTCTGGAATAAAGACGAAAGATCCAGATGTCCGATTGGGTCTCAATCAGCATTACCCAAGCTTTAAACCACCTCCATTTCAGTATCACCACCGCAACCCCATGGGTATTGGTGTGACGGCCACAAATTTCACTACCCACAATATTCCACAGACTTTCACCACTGCCATTCGCTGCACGAAATGTGGAAAAGGAGTTGACAACATGCCGGAGTTGCACAAGCACATCCTGGCCTGTGCTTCTGCGAGCGACAAGAAGAGGTATACCCCTAAGAAAAATCCAGTGCCGCTGAAACAGACTGTGCAACCCAAAAACGGAGTGGTGGTTTTAGATAGCTCGGGGAAAAATGCCTTCAGGCGGATGGGACAGCCCAAAAGACTGAACTTCAGTGTTGAGCTCAGCAAAATGTCCCCAAATAAGCTCAAATTAAATGCATTGAAGAAAAAAAATCAGCTGGTCCAGAAAGCGATCCTTCAAAAGAACAAATCTGCAAAGCAGAAGGCTGATTTGAAAAATGCCTCAGAGTCATCGTCTCACATCTGCCCTTACTGTAACAGAGAGTTCACTTACATCGGGAGCCTGAATAAACACGCTGCTTTTAGTTGCCCCAAAAAGCCCCTTTCCCCTTCCCGGAAAAAAGTTTCACACTCAGCCAAGAAAGGTGGACACTCATCATCTGCAAATAGTGACAAAAACAGTAACAACCACCGCAGGCGGACGGCTGACGCGGAGATTAAGATGCAGAGCACGCAGGCGCCTCTGGGCAAGACCAGGGCTCGCAGCTCAGGCCCTGCCCCGGCCCCGCTGCCCTCCTCATCCTTCAGGTCCAAGCAGAATGTCAAATTCGTAGCTTCAGTCAAGACCAAAAAACCGAGCTCCTCCTCTCTGCGAAACTCTAGCCCGATACGCATGGCCAAAATAACTCACGCGGAGGGGAAGAAGCCCAAAGCCGTGGCCAAGAATCATTCTGCTCAGCTGTCCAGCAAAACTTCGCGGAACCTGCATGTGAGGGTACAGAAAAGCAAAGCTGTCTTACAGAGCAAGTCCACTCTGGCAAGCAAGAAAAGAACAGACCGGTTCAGTGTAAAATCTAGAGAACGGAGTGGGGGCCCCATCACCCGAAGCTTTCAGCTGGCAGCTGCTGCGGACTCGAGTGAGAGCAGGAGAGAGGACAGCAGTGCCAAGCAGGAGCTGAAGGACTTCAGGTAAGCTCAGAGGCTGGGCGGGGTGCGGAGGAAACTGTAGGCTTGCCCTCGGGGGTTTTCGTTTTGTTTTGTTTTGTTTTCGTGTAAAATTTTGACCTAAGCATTTAAAAGAAATAATAACTTTTGGGTAAGCTGTAAGGAAAGGATACACTGGTTTGGCAGCCACAGACAAAGTTCTTTGAAACTTCCTTCATGTCTTGGGTAATATCTCAGGGTCCTTCGTTTTATTCCTTATCATAGATGACTTCTTGGGTTAAGATGGCTCATGGGTACATTAGCAAACCACCTTGTTCAACGTTTTGGTGACTTAAATGTATCTATTAGTAACAGGGACTGCTTTTATTTTCATGTTTTCTTTCATTGCCAGTGTTTGAATTTTAAAGATTTGCCACCTTGGTCAAAACAAAATATCTTATTTCTTAAAACTGCCTTGTGTTCCTCCCCTCCTCTGCTTCCAGCCCTAGAGAAATCAACAAGCCAGGTTCCAAAGGGGAAGAAGAGCAGGAGAGGGTGCTCGGAACTACAGGGAGGCAGGACCTCGAGGTCCTCTCGGGCACGTGTGGTACCCAGGGCAGCTCAGCCGCGTTTGTCAGTGCCTCTTTGCCCCGGTAATGATGCAAAGATTCATCTTAGATTTGAGGTGGCCTTTCTGAGTCGCTTAGCCTGACTTAATGTGCATTCTTGGGATTCCTGCCGTTTCCTAATAATGCCTGCAGGTCAGTCTTGTGAGTGGGTTCATCATCAGACCACATTTCTGCAAATACTGCTAAATCTTGTCTTTTCAGAGTATGCAGCCTGACCTGGTTCTGGACTTTGATGGTGATGATTTTCAGTGCCTTAAATTTCTTTGGTATTTAAGCAACCAGAATTAGGGATAGCTATGGAGCAACCACAATTTAGAGAGGTCATTGAGGACACAGATGTGCCATTGTAACTTTATCATTAATGAGGTGTAGATTAAATCGTGGCTAAAGAAAGATGCAGAGCCGGGTGTGGTGGTGCACATCTGTAATCCCAGCACTAGGAGGTGACGCAGGAGGATCACTTGAGAGCTCAAGGCCAGCCTAGATTGTATCGTGAGACCCTGTCTCAAAAAATGGAGGCTAAAAAGAGATGTGAAGAAGAGTATTGGCCAAGGCTGATTTGAATGGTAACCATTCAAATTATATGGATCATATTTTTTAAAATCTACTCTTCTTGAATATATTAAGTAACTCAGTTGCTATAGAGATGATCAGCTTGTCTTGGACCCTGGCACATGCTTTGGTAGCCTCCTGGGGGTTAGCCCTGGCAAGAAGCCTGCCTATCTCAGCAACTCACCTGTGTCCCTGCACGTGCTCTGCCTGTGTCTGCAGGTGTCACACCGCCAACACCTCGTGGAGCTGTGTCCTTTACAAGTTGTTGTGTCTTAACCAGAATATGCCACCATTTTCAGATTGTACAAAAAGTGCTTTAGAATATTCTGTCTAATCTTTTCTGTCTGACACTATCTAAAAGAATCACTTATTTTGTACTCAGCAGTATTTATACAACTTAAGAATAAAGTTCATATGAAAAAAAATTTAGGTACTGTTAAGCAGAGCTAAGTAACTATGCATTTAAGAAATGTGTTCACTTAAACTCTTCCCCAGTACTTTCAAGAGCCCTTAAACCTACCAACTGCTGAAGTGCCTAAATAAGAGTGTCTCGGCCCGGGATTTAGCTCAATGGCATAAGCTCCTGCCTGGCAAGCACGAGGTTGTGAGTTTAGTCCCTGGTACAAAAAAAAGTGTGTCTCTCTTCTTTCCTTCAGTTAATTTTAATTATTTTGCTTTGTTTGATAATTTTAAAAGGGTGACGTTCCTGGCATGACTTTTATCCTAAAGGGGGAAGCACAGGAGGGTCCCGACTGTTAGGTGGTAGCAGCAGGCATCCCTGGTAGCGCCGCCTCCCTCTTGGGAGTTGCTGGAAAGGTGCTGTGGACACATACATGGCAGTTCAGGGATATTATTCAGGACATGGCCGTGTGTCAATTCCCCATTTCCCCCTGAAGTGTTTTTGAGAATTAAACAAAAACAGGACCTCGTATTTTGACACAAGAGTCGGTGTTTGATCAGGGTTCGTGTTTGTCTCAGTACAAAGCTGGGATTCCTAAGCTCAGAACAGGTTCATGTGTAAGACAGTTGTCCTTAACAAAGTCTTTCCAGGGCCATTGCAGAGGGGCCTCTTCTTCAGTGCGTGTTTGTTGTACTTCGTTGAGAAGGAGTCCCTTTACTTGCAGTTGGCTTCCCTTCCGTGTATTTCTGCTTGGAAATTGGTTGGGCGATTATTTCATGACCCCAGGTACCTGTGGTGCACATTGAACTGACTCCACCCCTCGTTTCCGGTAGCTTGGCTTCGCTTTCCAGCTGCACATGGAGGGTGTGTCACAAGCTGACGGCGTGTCTTTTTCCAGCTTCTTCCTTCACAGCAGTGCTGATGAGCTGGTCCCCAGCACTCAGATGTTCATGTTTGAAATCCAGCTTAGAATTTCAAAAGTTCTGCCTGTAGTGGGTTTCCTGCTTAGCATCGAGAGCCTAGCAGTTTGTCAGTTGGTCACTCTTAGAGCATCAGCTGTTGTGTCAGTTAAGGTGTGAAGAAGCTGTGAGTCCCATGAAGCCCCTTTCTTAGGACAAAGCAGCGAAGGAAAGCAGGTGTGCCACTGAGCTCAGCTTCTCATCTGCGTGCCACAGTCTTCCCTGAGTTAGTGGTCACAGCGCTCCAGAGGTTCCTCAGTGGTGCTGAAGGTACATGGTGTGGAGGTTCATTTCCACACCCCCATAGTTTGCAGGATGTCTTCACATTCTTAGTGTTCTTCGTAGAGCAGCGTTTTCTTTTTATAAATACTGAGCTCCTGTTGCAGCCAATCTAGAAAACTTGGAGAAGCGGAATGAAATGCCAGACCAGGTTGTCCCATTTTCCGTGAGCTGAGAAAGAATCCCTGGCCCCCATCATCTCTGCTGCACCACTCTGAAAGGGCCTGCTGTCAGTTCTCCCAGAGCCTGTGCCTGTGGGATAGGCTACCCGAGTCCCTAAATAGCTTCAGTCATTTGTGTGTCGCTGTCTTTGTAACATTTGTCTTACAGTCTCCTCACCTTTTTCTTTAACATGGTCAATTCATGCAAGGTTATGTTATGTTGTCATTTATCTTCAGTTTTCTTATTTTCTAGGAACTTCCTGTAGAAAAGTCCCCAAAACAAAACAAACTTTAATTGACTAAAAGATATTGCATGCTCAACTTAGAATAAGCACTACGGCAAAGGATACGAGATCTACCAAGCTTGCAAGACCAGTGGAAGCTGACTCAAAAGTTGTAACATACAGCTGATTGCCTCCAGGCTTCTTGCTGCCCTGGTTAGAGTCAGGCATCCGCTCCTTCGCTGGCGCCCACACACGTGCTGGGCTCCTGGGTGATTGACATCCAAAGAAAAGGGCTCTGTCAGTCCGGCTAGATGAACTGGCTCCTCGTCACGGGACCGGGAACTCAGATCTGAGTGTGGCCCTTGTCTTTGGCACATAGCAGAGAAGGGAATGATTTGATCTTCACCTTGCAAAGCAAGTTCTCTGTTTTGTCAGTTTATGGTAGATTGCAGGGAGACAAATTCAAATGCACTCATTTAAAACCATTTGGTCATACACCAGCTCTTGATGCCTTTCTTTTAAATGAACTCTATAGACAGAGGCCTTTGGCTGTCTCTGACACCCCACCCTCCCCACCCCCCCTTTTCTTAAATCACAAGCAGATTGCCAGCATAATGGAGAGGAAACCAGACTGGATATGGACTCTGTGTATGCCTCTTCTAGTGTCATGTTTATGTATCCTAATGGATATTATCCTCTCAGATTATTATCTGGCACTAATTTATAATTATTATATATTATGAGACTATGTAGCAGTATATCAACTCACAGGATGCATCCCAGGCCTGTATAGATGTATGCCTACATGTAAGTATAAATGAATTTACTTACAGGTTTTACACTTCAGTCTCTGATAGAGATTAAAACAAATTTGGCCGCTTCCTATGTCTGTGAAAATCATTTCTCCATGCATTTTATGCCTCCCTCCAAATTAATGACTGAGTTGGTGGAAAATGGCTAGGTTTTTTTCATGCTGTTTTTTTGTTCTCAACTTAAACAGTAATCTACCTCTTAAAATCTGTAGTTTAATACTTGTTTGGTGAATTTGTGCCACTTTAACCCTTTCACTATCATTCCCATTTTGTTACATTTCTGTTATGGGGACTTTATGTTGAAATACTGTATAAAGCATTTGTAGCAGTTTAAAAATAAAATATTTAAAATTATTTAAATTGTTTTGGACGCTTCAATTGTATTATATGTGATTTACGTTTTACTTTTTTGTTTGCATTGTTAATCTGGAGAGTGTTCCTGTATTGAAGTTTGCTGTTAGTTATTTTATTGCTTCTTGTTGGAGAGTGCTATAAAAGACTATTCTAATGAAAACATTAAAATTTGCAATTTGATGTACAAAAGGGGTTGTTTGTTAATTGTAACCAACTGAGCCTTGAGTGAGAGAGAGGAGTTGCTGATAGACGCGATGGTGTTTGCTGCTGGTCCCCTCCTAGCATCAGGTGCACCACTGGCTGGTCAGATGTGTAAAAGGCTTCCTTCCCAACCTGTTACTGCAAACACAACAATTAGGGGAGACTCGAATGATGCATCTTACCTAACTGTAACCAATAAAAACTTTCTGAACACTTGTGGAAGGACTACATTTTGTGTACACTTGGGAACAGGAGTGGGAGGAAGAAAGTGGTGGAGGGCAGTTGTGTGATGCAGCGTGTCCTGCGGTCGGCCCACAGGCCTCCCTCAGCAGCCTCTGCTTGACATTGCTTGGACATCTGCTAACGGTAGTCTCTGTGCCTGTCTAGGGTGGCACGTAACTGGATAGTGGTGCCAAGAATACCTTGTGAACTGAAGTTTGCTAAGAGCGAAATAAAGGATTTCATACTTTGGGTCTCGGCTTCCTCTGTGCTTGTTCACAGTTTTAATTGGTAGGTTAACTTATATTTTTATGGATCTAAGCACAAATCAAAGAAGTTGTAACATTTGTGTTAAAGATTCTTCAAAGTGCTAGTGTTTTTAAAGATGAAAAGTGGCCAAAAGGACGCAGTCTCCTGTGGCCCAGCGCCTTACAGTTCTTGTTCCAGCAGCCACTGTTCTTCCTCTTGGCAAGGTGGGGCAGACCAGCTGTCTGCCTTGCACACGTGTTCCCATTTCTGGCCTGCAGGGAGCCTGTGTTAGAGAAGCCCGAGGAGCAGGACGGAGTTGATGGGAGTTGGGAAACGGCTTCAGTGCTGCTACTTTTAAATACTGCTAAAATGAGTACTGAACAGGACAGGCAGCAGTGCCCGTGGCGGGGGCAGATGTGAGATAGGAAGCACTTGTCCAGAAACAGACCCGTGTTTCTACCCCGGCCCAGCTGCTTGCTGTTCACCTGTTCCCTGTGCCTTCAGAGCATGCAGGCACTGACAAGGGCCCTGTGCCCCTCTGCTCTGTTGAGTTAGCCTTGGGTGAGCGCTTTTGCATTCTGGATCTACTGCAAAAGCAAGTCCGCCCAAGTTCCAGGTGGAGCGTGGGCAGAGCCCTGCTCTTCGCTCAAAGGCCTAAAACACAGCTGGTTGCTGAATGGAGGAGTCTTCAAGAAGTCGCTTAACATTTATCTCATCAGGAAGAAGTGGCTCCATTTTGGGTGCTTCTGCTTTTTTTATAGGGTTGTACTTTTCAAAAATAAAGTAGTTAATACCTCAAACCTTCTGTCTCTTACTCCTACGGTCTCAAAGCATCTCACTCTTCCCCATCCTAAATCCCTGTCTAGGCTGACTGTTTCAGCTTGGGTGCTGCAAATACTTTCTGGTCTGACAAGATAATTGATAGAGTCAACTTAGCTTATTGGGAATTTAGTATATACTGCACTGCGTTCTGGATACTTAGGATACATCAGTAGACAAAACTCTGCATCCCTGTGGGCTTCTGTTTTCCTAGTGACCCTTTCCCTTTGAGTTTACTGTTGAAGCCACCTTACTTTGTTATAATTCCCCAAGGCTACGTGGAGATACTTCTAGCTTCATGTTGGGAGAGCTGCCATTTGGATGACTGCAGACTATCAATACTCAAAGTAAAATTACAGTTTGTTTCATACATACTGTGGGTTTTAATTGGATACCAAAGTGTCTTTGGGTCTACTGAGTGGTAGCCATAAAAAGATGCATAAAAGGGAATTTGCATTGAAAATGGGTTAGTGCACAAATAGATACTGCAAGGACAAGGTCATTAAGGAAAGTGGTCTGTTGGTCTCTGCTCATTTTCCCAGGCCTAGCAGCCCCTGATACTTCCTCCCCATTAGCACTGACCTGTGGGTGCTGCTTTGGAATCTGGTCTGTCGGGGAATATTTTACTGAAGCACTCTGGAGAGTGGGTTTGAGAGACTTGAAAACAGTGGGAGCCACAGGCCCTGACTTGCAGCCCATTGCTTTTGCACTCACTTGGAGCACTTGTAACTGGCCTGTCCGGGTCCTGCAGCCAGTGGTTCATAGTAGGGGAGGGGTGCCACTACATAGGCTGCACTTTGAGCCTTGCAGCACCACTGATAATCCTTATAATCAGTCTGCAGAGTAGGCACAGTTCTTACTCTTGTTAGCCAAGGGCTGTGGGGCTGTTCTGGAGCCACTCAAGAGTCCTGGGCTTAGAACTGCCCTGATGGCAGGGAGAGGACAGGCTCAAGTGGAGAGGGGACAGTGCCCTGTCGTATGGTCTGCCTTGTGTTCATTCCAAGGCTGGGTCTCATTGGATTCCTCCTCGCCAGTGCTTTGACCTTCCTGCCACAGGGCTTGCCTTGCAAGCAAGGACCATAAATACACTGTGCTATGGGATAAAAATAATAGACATGACATGCAGATAGGTGGGAAAGATGATGTCCATGTTACCATTAAAATCCCAAATGTAAAACACCCAGTATTAAACAAAATTTGTTTTTAAACAAAATGGGAGATCTGTGAGTGGGAGTGAAGGAAATGTACATCGTTTCCTGACTTGAGGTGGTGTCGCAGACCCACCACCTCAATTCACTTCTACCCACTACCCACTCTTGTGCCATTAACTCTCCCAGGGTCGCTGGAAAGGATCTGATGAGCTTTAGAACTTGAGTCTTGTCTGTTGCGCCATGAGGGTGGTGACTTTTTTGCAGACGGAGCAGACGGCACAAGACTCGAGCACATTTAGGGTTTGAGCAGGACCTGTTGCAAGGCTGACTGATGTGTAGTTTTACTCCTAACTGGTCCATGCCTCTGCCCCTGTCACAGACCAGGCAGTTCAGGTTTGTTTGATTATCCCTGCTCTTCCACAGAAGCCATGTTCATTATCATCAGGCTCTTCGGTTTTGAAAATGATTCTGAAGCAGGCCCCATCCAGAGTCCTCAGACACCACCGCAGAACCTTGGCCTGCTGGTTGATCTCAGCTTACCTCCCTACCACATCAAGTAGTGTGTTAAGTGCAAAACAAAGTCTGCTGGTGGTAAATTATTTTCCAGTACAGGATTAGGGCCTGGAGGGGGCAGGTAAAGACTTCATTTACTTAACTGGAGTAAGAATAAGAATTGGAAAAACTTATCAGGACTTTGCATTGAATTACTTGCTGCGGTTGCAGAAATTACATTCAATCATGAGCTGCTAAACGGGGCTTGGAAATACTTTTATTAGAATAAATTTGTTGATCTGTTGCAGTAATAGGATTTGCACATGCTTGCATTTTCTGCCTCACTTGCGCCAGCTGGGTTTCTTTTCAGCTCTCTCCAATAGTAATGCAGAACGCAGGCGGATGTCACCGAGAACATAAACATTTTATAGAGGACATTAGCACCTCGGTGTGCCTTCCCATGTCCAGTCAACAAACCATGGCAAGAAGCCACATTTCTAAATGCCCCTTGATGGCTTCTACCCGAGTTCCTTACTGAGTGGAGTGAGGACTGGAATGTTGCTTTGGTAACAACCAACTCCTGGGACTTAGGACAGGTTGACATTCTAGACAGCAGCACCCTTAAGAACATTTCCATATCAATCTTTAGACAGAAACTACTGTATAACCTGGAATTCGATGTAGCTGCTTAATGTTAGCATTAATCATGAATGTAGATTTTTCAATAGGATTCATTTGGAAAAGGCTTGGAATTTGCTGTACAGGTAAATTAATAGTCGGTATGAGCTTTACAGTTAATGGCAATTTTACTTTTTAACTTAAGAACAGTTGCAAGTCAAAGCAGTTGGATTTGTTAGTATTTCACTTGGCCAAAACGGATTTTAATATTTTGTACTGGAATGAAGTTATTTAAAACTCATATGGAGTCAATTTGCCTTGCAGTAACATTCCCTTCTCGCTTTATTTTTATAATTACAACCAATTCTTGCCAGCCCAGCTAGAGGGTAGGAACATTTTCAGATGGCTTTTATTTCCAAGCTATTATTGGACTTGTGAATTCAGGCACATTCTCCTGTAGTGATTCAGTTGGTCTGCCATTCAGAAAACATCTCCAAATGGTCAGTCTGTATCATCAGAGTGGTAACCTGTGTCTCATGACCTCTTCTGCAGGGCCAGAGAGCAGTCGTGTATGCTGGAGCTTTGAGAGACTGCTTTTGATTCAGCAGGCCCTGGGGAGGAAGTCGAGGCAGTAGTCCGGTGGTTCTTACCCAGGGGGCTGTGCTCTGAGTGTATCATGTGACTTGGCTCATTTTGATCTCTTCTCAGTCTGAGCCAGATAATACTTGCAGGTAACCTCATTAAGTCAGAGAGGAGTGGCATCTCTTTAGGTCTGTCCCACAGCTATGAATGGGGATCTCCAAACCCACATGCTAATCACAGGGTCATTGTGCTCCCCTGTGATCTCAAGCCATCTACTTGGGTTTCAGAGTGCCTTGAATGCAGGTGATGCTGATGTCATTGCCTAGGTGGTGGGTGGTTTTGCAAAGAGGTGGAATAGTGTAGTGGATGTAAGCGTTGGCTTTGACCTCTTGCAGATCTAGGATGTCATTCCCTGGGTTCCGTTTGTGATAGGCTGAGCCTGAGCTTCCTGGTTTACGTGGAGTCACACTTTGCCCTCTCCTTCCCATGGTCTGGGTGTTGAATGATGTGACATGTGTTCTAGGACAGATTCAGTGAAGTGGCCATGATGGCGCTGTAATAACAGACCTCAGCGGGTGCCACTAAATTACCTCCCTGGGCTCAATGACCTGCCGCAGGTGAGGGGAGGCAGATGATGAACTTGGACGTTGATGGTCACTGAGATACTTTTAGGGGAGGCTGCTGAAGAAACAACACTTCTCCACAGTCTCGAAAGAAACACGGTTCGCGGGAACTGCGGAACTTCTTACAGTATCGCCCTTCCCCGCTTTTTAAAACTGCAGGCCAGTGTTTCACCTTGGCTTGAAGGCTCCTTGTATCCGCCCTAGTACTCCCTCTTGGGAAATGATGCCCCCTGAGCTGATTCCGACATCTTGCCCCACACAACTGTGCAGTAGCTGCAGACAAGAACGGGGCTTTCCGACTGCCTACTTCCTGATTCACTTGTAGCTCTTGGTTCTTTGCTGAACATGTGCTTTCTGGACAGCAAAGTGTCGGCATGATCAAAACAGATTCCTTTTTCTATTACAAGCTCCTAGAATGCGTGCCTTGAGTGATTTGTTGGAGACTGAGTTTGGTGAAAGCGTA